ACTGGTCCTCCTCGACAAACTTGGCGGGCACGATCCACTCCTCGGCGACAGTGGGCCTGCGGGCGTAGGCATACTCGTGGTAGTGGAGTGGGGCGGGGCGTGGGAGGACACAGCATACAGCCATTACCATCCGCATCGATGTACACGAGCTCGCTCGGGCTGCCCCGCCCGCGCAGCATCCCGAGCCCCTCGACCGAGTACTTGGCTGTGTCCGAGACTGCCACATCCGACGCCGCGTACAGCGCCTGCAGGAGCCGCACTGTTATCTTGTCCTGGCCGACCACTACAATCAAGCGCGCCCGATTCAAGTCGACCCCGCGGCGGCTGCTTGTGTAGATGATACAGGACTTGAACTCGCTGTGGCTACTGACCATGATGTTCTCGCCATCCATGAGCTTCTCCAGCTTGGCCGACACAAGTAGTCCAGGACCATCGCAGGCTTGTCGCCGCGCGCCACCATCAGCAACAGGGCACAATCCAGTTTGGACGAGGTGCGTGGCGAGTCAAGCCCGATGGCAACCTTGGCACCAGCTGGCAGCGGCATGGGATCGCCACTGGCTTCTGTGGTTGTCCGTGTCTGCGAAGTACACGTGTTGGCCACGCTCGGATAGTGTGTGAAGGAGACGATGGCCTCGGCAAACTTGATCACATCCTCGTCGGAAGGGCTGCTGGGAAAGTGGGCGTTGTGCCAACTCACGTCTGCGCACACCTGAAGGACGCCCTCCTACCCAGCCTCGATCGCGTAAAGGCATCCAGCTCTGCTTGCTACGCTAACATGCCTTGCCTTGCCGCCATGGGTACGGAATGGGGACCGATGAACGGGTTGTCGACTTGGCGGAGATCCGTGTAGAAGCGAAGTGTTGTGTAGTAGCCGTTGTTGTAGCTCTGAATCGTCCGTCGCCGAAAGAATTTGGTGATCACTGCTCGGCTCCCTCCACCTTCCCATTCCATCCAAGCATCGACACACACTCATCGGACAGACTGACGGATGATGCAGATATCCATCCTCTTCCATCCCATCACCTGCTTGCTGGTCACGAGCCTGCTGTCCAGCAACTGGCCAGTCGATAAAGCCATCCACGCATACACCTCAGTCGTGGCCACGCCCCATGACGCACTCGCATCGCAGTGCTCGTCACAACTATGTACTCAGTCCGTGGCCCACATCCCCAGTACCAACCGCCCGATGACCATTTATCCCCTCACGTCATGTCGTAACCATCGCCGCAAGGCTCATCGGCGCTCCACCGCGGCCATCGCCCCGATCGCAATCAGCATCATCACAGAGACCCCCCCTGCCCACGCCCGCCGCACAGCATCCGCACTTTCCCACAACATGCCGTCCTTCCTACAGGCACACGTCCAGCAGACGTGAAAGTCGCACAGCATGTAGTACCCATCACCATCGCATCGGTTCTAGTGATTGCCGAGACAGACCACAGGCTCAAGCCGCATGGCGCTCGACCTCATCCATCCTCACGCGGGACACCAGCTTCGACATCGACCATGATCCCCATCGATCAGCCGAGCTCAAGGACAGATCGGGCATCTCACAGTGCCTGTACCAAGTGCGCTCGGCCATCTCCAGCTCCCAACCAGCCGATCGCCCCGCTCGCTTGACGGCTCGAGATGTCCTCGCATCTATCGCGCTCGCCATCTCTGCCTGCCGGATCACGGCGATTGGCACAGTGACCCACCCCCGGCGATCGGCCGGCCAAGCCCAACCAGCCCATCAGCAGAAGTCAGGCAAGACCGAGGCGCAGTGGCCAGCAGACGTTGATCGAGACACCCACGAGCACAGCAGCGTGTTGGGCATGTCCGCAGAAGTCATCGACGACGTCTGGCAGAAGGACGGGTTGGAGAGAGGCCGACGGAGAGGCATGCCCCGGAGAGGGAAGAGCGAGACCATTGCGAAGGTGATCAAGGCAGAGACCCATCCGACGGAGCGGGCGGAAGGGGCGGGCGGTGGCGGGTGGTGGCAGGGCTTCCCGGCAGACGGGGCAGGGAAGGGCACGACGTCACAGTGCCGAGATTGACGTCACAGTGCCGGGAGGACCAATAGAGGGTGATGGGGTGGTCTGACGGGAACGATGGAGAGGGATGGATGATACGGGACCATGGGGGTGTACAGAGGGTGGTCGGGAGGATATACAAGTGGGCAATGAGTATGGTGGGGGTGTCTGAGTGGTGGAGGGGGCTGTGATCCTGCCTGACACGATCAGAGTCAAATTCTTTTGGATGGCTTTGATTTCTGCCGAATGGCTGTGTGAGTGGGTGGGTGGCGGGGGGTATGCGGAAGGTGGGAAGGGTATATCTCTCTGTCTGACAGAGTGGAGAGGAGTATGGCTGCAAATGGTGCTGGACGAGAGGTGGACGTGAC